TACAGTAAAAAACAATGTGATAGGGGGGGGACAATGTAATGTGGGTTACAGTAAAAAACAATGTGATAGGGGGGGACAATGTAATGTGGGTTACAGTAAAAAACAATGTGATAGGGGGGGTGACAAACATTTAACGTACAAACTTTAACGCAAAGTATGAAATTGTCCTAAAGTAAAAGCAGTAAATTTAATAATATTTGTAGTAAAGTAGTCTTTGAGTAGTTAAGCTTCCAATCATGTCGTTATTGTCACTTTCGTTATTGAATTCCAAGATAATCTTATTCCCTTACAGGAAACCATCGCTAAGTTAAATACAAATTTTACGACCAAATAAAGATAATAAATAAATTAGTACACAATAGTGAATAAACTCGGCAACATAGGTTATGAATAGGAAAGGTAAAATTTTATGCTAATTTAAAACCGCAATTTTACAAAGCGTTTACATTTCAAACCCTTGCGCAATAACTACCTTCCTCCCCTCGTCGTACTCTATACAGCTTTCTAATAATTGATAATTTATCAAGCTTTAGGAATGAGTATAAATCAATGAAAAAGTTTAATTTGAAATGCATTACCTTCCAAGGAAAGCCATTATTCTTATTCAGCTGTAACTTTTATCTTGCAAGGGAATGCTTTTCATAGCCCCTTTTCATTTAAAGGTTAAAAAAATCTATAAATGTTTTTTGTTGTTGTTGTTGTCTTAACGTAGGGATAGACAATTATACTTTATACTACAGTCTAAGTGTTTTATAAAATACAAGAAAATAAAGATGAAATTAAGACTTCTAAGACACTTTGTTGTTTGTGTGTCAGTACCAGAAGTCCGGTGTCAGTAATATAATTAATGGTAGAATTTTCTCGTTTTTCTAATGAGAAAGTTTCCTTAAGAACCATGGTCTAATGATTGTCGAGCTAAGGTTTATGAGACTATTGATTGTAGAAGACATTTTTCGACTTTCATTGCTCCAAGCAGGGATTCCTTCTGAATAAGTGAAATCATGGGGATAAGCAAGAAGAATCTACTAAGTGCTGATATAAATGTGAACGGATTTTAAGAAACGGTAAAATTCTAACAGGTTATATTAATAAAAAGGACGCATTTGAATCCTAGTGTATTTTTTGTTCAGTTTTCAAAGACAGTGTTATTGACAGAATCAATGACCATCTCAAAATGTACTTGTAGTTCGATCGACAATAGAGAAATACAGATATTGATGCTGATTCTGTACCTTTATATTATTAGTCTAATACTCTAAGCTTCATCCAGAGTACACAGCCGAAGAGTTAGCGCTTTATAACAATAATTAACAGTTATACAGAAAGCAAAATATTGAGTTCGAAACTCAAAAACTAAAACTGTTTTTGTTTGTTTGTAGTTAAGCACAAAGCTACACTGTGGACTATCTGCGCTCTACCCACCACGGCACAGGTATCTAAACCCGGTTTCTAGCGTTGTAAGTCCGCAGACATACCGCTGTGCCACTGGGGGGGGGGGCAAACTAAAACTGTCAGTTGTAATAAATCTCAAACTGATTGAAAGAAATGAAATAAAATAAATTTATCATTTATCAAGAAAATTAAAAATTTTACCATCTGTCAATAAAGTGCGATATGTATGATGATGGTCCTAAATTTGGGGCCCAAGAGATTTAAGACTAATCTTAATATAAAAGTCTTAAGAATGACAATCACAATTGACAAAATGTTGTCACATTGTTTTCTAATTACAACAAAAATCATTATTCGCTTCATACATATTATTATTACATGGGCACCAGAATTTCTGTGTCCCTGTTGTTGATATTTATAATGATGATTCTTTAAAGATTAGTTCAGTTTTATAAGAAATGTAAAAAAAAAAAAAATACACGGAAAACAAACTTCAATACAAAACTGATAAAAACAACAACAACATCAATTCTATAATGCATTAAGAAAACAAACATTGAAAGTTTTTTTGGGGGGAGTCCTTTGCAACTTCTCCCCTCTGTAAACGACATTAATCGAATTCGTAGTACAGATTGTCTGTGCATAGCTAGACGTTCTATATAAACAGGATGTACTCAGTTGTAAACGACATTAATCCTATCCATGGTAAAGACTGTGTGTGCTTAGGTAAACGTTTTATATAAACAGGATGTACCCAGTGGTAAACGACGTTAATCCTATCCTTAGTAAATATTGTTTGTGCATAGCTAGAAGTTCTATATAAACAGGATGTACTCAGTTGTAAACGACGTTAGTCTTATCCATAGTAAGAAGTGTTTGTGCATAGCTAGATGTTCTATATAAACAGGATGTACTCAGTTGTAAACGACGTTAGTCTTATCCATAGTAAGAAGTGTTTGTGCATAGCTAGATGTTCTATATAAACAGGATGTAACCAGCTGTAAATAACATTAATCCTAGACTTTTAAAGTCACTTATGACCAAGGCTAGTGTAAATGTTTCAGCCGCTGTAAGTGGTCAGTATATTTGTTAAGTTTCTTTTTAATTGAGCTTGACAACCTTCGATAATGCCTTGAAACTCTTTATTTAAGCAATATTCTACAGCTTTAAAATCATTGTTGTGGCTTGTTTAACTTTTTGAAAAAAATCCCCCGGTGGGACAGCGGTAAATCAGGTATTCGATTCCTCTAGGTGGACACAGCAGATAGCTCCATGTGGCTTTGCTATAAGAAAACACACGCATACTCTTTGAAAAAAAAGTCCTATTGTCGTGAAAAATAATAATTATAAGTAGGTTTACTAAGTAAGTAATTATTTTGTATGACGTGAGGCTACCGGAAATATAAAGAGATAGGCACACGGATTGAAACTAGTTTTCTGACGTGGGTGACAACGCATTTTGAGAAGCAGTGACAAAGCTTGAACTGTAATGCAGTTCCGAGCTAACCTAGTACTTGGTCAGAATTCACTTTTTACTGAAAAGTATCATAATGATATATAGATATCGAATAATTATTGTTGATTAATTAATGAATTATTTAGTCAGCTAGTTAGTTAATGAGTCTGTAACATTCTTTTCGATTGATTAATCAGCCAGTTTTAAATTTTATACTGTAGATATGAGAGTAAATTTAACAAGAAAGTGACTGATTTTTAGTTGTGACGCTCAGTGAGCTTATAGAACTTGTGGTGGAAGAAATAAAACGCTTTCCTTCTCATTAAATGGACTGGATCATTTTTAACGCATAATCAAAACAAACCTGCTAAAAGATACAAAAGCTGTTAAAACAATACAAAATGACTTGGTAAACGTGAGAATGATCTGGTTGTACCTGATAAACTTTAAAATTTTGTCTATACCAAAGTGGAAAACCTCATTACTGCATTGCAAAGTGTTTAGATATTTTGTAAAATAAAATAAAAGTACTAATAGAATCTATTGCTTAATTTTTTGTTATTTTAAAAATCTTCTCAAAGATGTGTTTTACCTTTCTTTGTTATGATGTATGAAATGACGTGTTAACG